TTCCCATTCTTCACAATGTTATCCATAATTTGTTATGATCCACACAGTCAAATGCCTTTACATAATCAATAAAACACAGGTAAACATCTTTCTAGTATTCTCTGCTTTCAGCCAGGATCCATCCGACATCAGCAATGATATCCCTCGTTGCACGTCCTCTTCTGAATCCGGCTTGAATTTCTGCCAGTTCCCTGTCGATATACTGCTGCAGCCACCTTTGAATGATCTTTAGCAAAATTTTACTTGTATGTGATATTAACAATATTGTTAGATAATTTCCACATTCTGTTGGATCACCTTTCTTTGGAATAGGCGTAAATTTGGATCTCGACCAGTGGATTGGCCAGGTAGCTGTCTTCCAAATTTCTTGGCATAGACAAGTGAGCACTTCCAGTGATGCATCCATTTGTTGAAACATCTTAATTGGTATTCCGTCAATTCCTGGAGCCCTGTTTTTTGCCAGTGTCTTCAGTGCAGCTTCAACCTCTTCCTTTAGTACCATTGGTTCCTGATCATATGCTACCTCCTGAAATGGTTAAATGTTGACCAATTCTTTTTGGTATACTGACTCTGTGTATTACTTCCATCTTCTTTTAATGCTTTCTGCATCATTTAATATTTTCCCTGTAGAATCCTTCAATATTGCAACTTGAAGCTTGAATTTTTCTTCCGTTCTTTCAGCTTGAGAAATGCTGAGCATGTTCTTCCCTTTTGGTTTTTTAACTCCAGCTCCCTGCACGTCATTATAATACTTTGTCTTCTCAAGCTGCCCTTTGAAATCTTCTGTTCAGTTCTTTTACCTCATCATTTCTGCCGTTTGCTTTAGCTGCTTGACGTTCAAGAGCTGGCTTCAGAGTCTCTTCTGACATACATTTTGACCTTTTCTTTCCTTCCTGTCTTTTTAATGACCTCTTGCTTTCTTCATGGATGATGTCCTTGATGCCATTCCACAACTTGTCTGGTCTTCAGTCATCAGTGTTCAAGGCATCAAGTCTATTCTTGAGATGGTCTCTAAATTCAGGTGAGATATACTCAAGGTTGTACTTTGGCTCTTGTTCTAATTTTCTTCAGCTTCAACTTGAATTTGCATATGAGCAATTGGTGGTCTGTTTCACGGTCAGCTGCTGGCCTTATTCTGACTGATGATGTTGAGCTTTTCCATCATCTCTTTCCATAGATGTAGTCGATTTGATTCCTGTGTATTCCATCTGGTGAGGTCCACGTGTAGAGTTGCTGTTTATGTTGGTGAAAAAAGGTATTTGCAATGAAGAAGTCGTTGGTCTTGCAAAATTCTATCATGCGATCTCCGGCATCATTTCTATCACCAAGGCCATGTTTACCAACTACCGATCCTTCTTTGTTTCCAACTTTCGCATTCCAGTCACCAGTAATTATCAATGCATCCTGATTGCATGTTCAGTCAACTTCGGACTGCAGAAGTTGGTAAAAATCATCAGTTTCTTCATCTTTGGCCTTAGTGGTTGGTGCGTAAACTTGAATAATAGTCATATTAACTGGTCTTCCTTGTAGGCGTGTGGATATTATCCTGTCCCTGACAGCGTTGTACTTCAGGATAGATCTTGAAGTGTTCTTTTTGATGATGAATGCAACGCCATTCCTCTTCAAGCTGTCATTCCTGGCAGAATAGACCATATGATTGTCTGATTCAAAATGGCCAGTACCAGTCCATTTCAGCTCACTAATGCCTAGAATATTGATGTCTATGTGTTCCATTTCATTTTTGACAATTTCCAATTTTTCTGGATTCATAGTTTGTACATTCTACATTCCGATTATTAATGGATGTTTGCAGCTGTTTCTTCTCATTTTGAGTTGTGCCACATCAACAAATGAAGGTCCTGAAAGCTTGACTCCATCTACGTCATTAAGGTCGACTCTACTTTGAGGAGGCAGCTCTGCCCCAGTCATATTTTGAGTACCTTCCAACCGGAGGGGCTCATCTTCCAACACTGTATCAGACAATGTTCTGCTGCTACTCATAAGGTTTTCACTGGCTAATTCTTTTCAGAAGTAGACCACCAGGTCCATCTTCCTAATCTGTCTTAGTCTGGAAGCTCAGCTGAAACCTGTCCACCATGGGTGGCCCTGCTGGTATTTGAATACCGGTGGCATAGCTTCCAGCATCACAGCAACAGGCAAGCCCCTACAGTAGGACAAGCTGACAGATGCGTGGGGGGGCCTCCCACAGGGAAGGTGTGAATTCTACCACTGCCCTCATTATAACAGATATACATAATATATACGTGTATAGATATATATATATAGTAAACTCTAGTATATATATACTCTCTCCATCTTGTGGAATCAGGTGGAGAGGGGGGCACTGGTCCCCTGTGGAGGGGAAGCTTTGAACTCCAGTCCCAGTTCTGCCATTACTGCTATGTGAGTTTGGGCAACTTCTTCACCTCTCTGTGCCTCAGTTTCCCTCTCTGTAGTCTGGGGATCAGCAGGGCACAGTCTCACCAGATGGCTCAATAAGTTGAACTCAGTCAAAGTGCTTGAAACAGGGCTGGCCAGCTGCAAGGCACAGCCTGTGTGAGCCACGGTGCTGGGGTCTGTGAGAGCCAGGTGAGGCTGGAAGACCAACAACAGAGGGGAAGGGGACCCCAGATTTCTTTGGAGAAGCAGCCCAGGGGGCAGCTTGCTGCTGGTGGCAGTGAATGGCCAGGCCAGGAGGAAAGAAGGGGGTGGGTTCAGGCCATGGGGGGCTGTGATGCCACAGAGGGAAATGGGGGGATGGAGAGCACGCTGTCCTTCCTCACAGTCGGACCACAAGGGGCTGCTTCTTTGGGTGTTGCCTCTCCCCAAGGATTCTAATCCTCCCAGCAGGAGCCCCTCACCCAGGTCAGCACCTGGCAGACTCTGGCACTCCTGGGGGGTAGGGCTGACCCCTGACTGAGGGACATCAAACCCCCCCACCCCCAGGACTGTCCAGAGCTGCCCATTGCTGTGGCCCTAGTTCGCTTGCTCAGCCACCACACCGGCTCCAGATGCTGTTGATGCCCCAGGCACACCCCACGTCTCTCAGCCTCCGCAAGGCTGTCCATCTTCCTGTGTTTTTCCTCCTGGGGTGACCTCCCCAGAGGAACCCAACTATGCATCTCAGCCTCCACATGGGGAGTTTATATACAGAGACCAAGGGCTGATGGGTGGTGGGTAGATTGAAGGGCAAATGGATGGATGTGTGATTGGGTGGATGGACAGAGGGCATGTGGATGGATGGCTGAATGGTGGATGGATGGATGGAAGGGTGGATGGGTGGCTGCCTGGCTGGCTGGAAGCCTGACTAGCTGAATGGATAGATTGCTGAATGGGTAGGTGAATGGATGGATGGATGGATAGGTGGCCAGATGGACAGATGGGTGGATGGATAGATAGATGAGTGGGTGGATGGATGAACAGATAGATAGATTGGTGAGTTGGTGGATGGATGAATGGATAGATAGATGGTCAAATGGGTGGGTGAATGGATGGATGAGTGAGTGGGTTGATGGATAGATGGATGGGTAGATGAGTAGGTGGGTGGATGGATGGATGGATAAATGGATAGATGGATGGGAAGATGGGTGGGTGGATGGATGGATGGGTGGGTGGATGGATGGATGGATGGATAAATGGATAGATGGATGGGTAGATGAGTGGGTGGGCGGATGGCAGGTAGGTGCACAGATGGGTGGGTATACAGGTGGGTGGATGGTCAGTTGGGCAGATGGTCAGTTGGGCGCAATCCCACAGGCTGAGCCCCTCTACCCATGCTATGTGAGACCGGGAATATCATCATCTTTTTGTTGCCTTTACAGCCGGAGCCTGTGGAGCCAGCAGGTGCTGTTTTCAGGACCCACCATACTCGCACACAGACTCAGGTTTGGGACAGTCCCTGGGGGGTGTTCACACTGGGCTCAGAATGATCCCATCCCCAGCAGCCCACTTCCTTAGCCTCCTCCCACCCAGCCAAAGCCCCAGCCCTGCCTAGGTTCTTGCGCATGCAGACCCGTAGCCTGCTGACTCATCCTCAGCAAGGCTCAAGGTGTCCCGCAGCAGTCACTGCCCTCTCCGAGCCTGAGTCTCCTTCACAAGGGTGATGGGCTGGTGTCTGAATCTGTTCAGATGGGTCAGCGCATGGGGCAAAGCAGCTAATTGAAGTCCACCCTCCTCCCTAGGCAGCCATTGCTGGAACATTTATGCTTATAACGCATCCCACAAAGGGTCTGGCACTGAGCAGGTGCTTCATCCATTCTGTTATTCAGTAAAGATTTACCTAGCACCTACTATGTGCAGACACAGTTCTAGACATGACAGAATCCACTGTGAGCCTGGCTGACCACCTGGGATCCCAGCCTGGATGGATAGGTGGATAGACAGACAGAAGGAAGATGGATGGGAGGCGGGGTGGATAGACAGATGGATGATAGATGGTGGGGGGTAGATAGACACAGGCACATGAATTTGTAGACTGCATACAATGAGTAGTCACGTGTGCTAGGTAAAAAACTGAGCAGGGTAGTTGGAGAGGAAGGGCTGCTTTGGGCTGGTGGGTAGTGGAGGAGGAGACACTGAAGGAGAAACTGGAATGTCAAAATCAGAGGGTGCTTCCTGGTTGGTGAAATACATCATTGCATGTAGGAGGGTAGCACTCCCTTTTTGGGACATGGAAGCTCCGCATTGGGAGCCCTTCCAGACCATGCCCTATGTGTTTCTTCCTTAGTGTCCTTTTTGCTGTAATAAAATTGTAATCATAAACAAACAAGCAAAAAAAAGATCAGGGGGATGTGTGTTTCAGGCAGAGGGAATAGCACGTGCAAAGGCCCTGAGGTAGGAAGGAGCCTGGTGTGTTTTGGGACCAGCGAGGAGGCTGGAGCAGAGTGAGCAGGGAGATGGGGGAGAGAGGTGGGGAGGAGCAGGGAGGATGCTGGGAACCACTGCAGGCTTAAGCTGAGGTGACACCAGATTACTTAAGTATTGCAAAGATTCATCCTGGGGGTATGTTGGTGCTGAGCCTCACAGTGCTCCCCATATCCTGGTCTATTCTCTAACCTCTGCAATCTTCTTTAGGCTCGGCCTTGGGCCCCCGGGACCTGAGCTGCTACCGGATATTCAGTGCCGGCAGCTATGAGTGTTCCTGGCGGTACGAGGGCCCTGCAACTGGGGTCAGCCACTTCCTGAGGTGTTGGTGAGGACCCCACTCTGGTCCCTAGACCCTCTTCCACCACCCCGCCCTCACTTCTACTCCCCAGTGCCTGTACTCTCAGATGCATGACCTGGGCCTAGTCATTCTTTCTTCCCGTGCCTCAGTTTCTCATCTGAGAAGGCAGGGCTGGGCCTCTGTGATGTGAGCATCCTAGAGTGGGTGGCACTGAGGGTCCCTCTTGTCCTTCCTTCATCTTCACCCTCGCACTCATTCATGCATCTATCCATTCAATCCATTTCTTCCTCCTCTCTGTGGCTGCCCATGCTGGGAGATTCTGGGGTCCCCTCAACTCCCTATGTCCTGGACCAACCTCCAAGGAGCCCCAGGCTGTAGTAGGGGGAGAAATAGAAGGGGCAGAAAAGGATGCTGGGAGGTGATACACAGCATCTGCCATAGCCACTGACATTCTGGGGTCCAGTAGGACTCTGGACTAATCATCAACACTCTCTTTTTCTGCAGTGTCCGCCCTGGGCGCTGCTGCTACTTCTCTGTGGGCTCAGCCACCAGACTGCAGTTCTCCGATCAGGACGGTGTGCCTGTGCTCCATGCTGTCACGCTCTGGGTGGAGTCCCGGGTGGCAAACAGGACCGAGAAGTCGTCGGAGATTTCGCTGCAGCTCTACAGCTTGGGTCAGCACCCTATCAGGACCCCTGTTTTCCTCCTTTCTGTGCTGTCGTCACCCTGAGAAGCCTTGGGTTCCCCGGCCTGGACCCGGGGGATTCCGTCACCTGCCAAAGGGCTCTATACTGTAAGCTGTTGTCATATCAATCACTGTGCGTAACACAGCAGAGTCTTCCACGATCCCTTCACGAATCCTCCACTCCTGGGCACTTAGGTTGCTTCTGAGATCTCCCTGATATCCCTAATGCTGCCAGGACCCAACAACATGCATTCAGTATATAGTTTTTGAGCTCCTACAGTCACCACAAGGAACCCTGGTGACACAATGGTTAAAGCACTAAGCTGCTAATCAAAAGGTCAGCAGTTCAAACCCACCGGTGGCTCCTCAGGAGATAAGACCTGGCAATCTGCTCCCACAAACATTATAGCCTGGAAACCCTATAGGGCAGTTCTACTCTGTCATATAGGGTTGCGGTGAATCTAAATCAGCTTGACGCACACAACAACAACTGTTGCCACAATTAGGCGTAGGGGATGTGGGCAAGGCCAGCACAGTTGCTGCCCAGGGCTGGTTCTAGGGTGAGGCGAGTGAGGCATCCATCTTGGGTACCATCTTAGTCAACTAGTGCTGCTATAACAGAAATACCACAAGTGGATGGCTTTAACAAACAAATTTATTTTCTCACAGTTTAGGAGGCTAGAAGTCCAAATTCAGGGTGCCGACTCTCTGAGAATGCTTTTTTTCTCTGTCGGCTCTGGAGGGTCCTTGTCTCTTCAACTTCTGCTTCCTGATTCCTTAGAGATCTCCATGTGGCTTGGCATCTATCTTACCTCATCTCTGCTTTTCTAGATTAAACTTGTGGATCTCTTTTATATCTCAAAAAAGATTGATTTAAGACACAACCTACACTAATCCTGTCTCATTAACATAACGAAGACAACTCATTCCCAAATGGGATTATAACCACAGGCATAGAGGTTAGGATTTACAACACATATTTTTGGGTGGCACAGTTCAATCCATAACAGGCACAAATACTGAAAAACTCAGTAGTCAACATAAATTCTGTTTTAATGTGATATTAAAAAACTTCAATTTAATGCAAAAAAAAATCCACGATGATCAAAATTTTAAACTAAGACAAGATCCTATCCTGCACTCGCATGACCTTACGTCACGTGCCTAACCCTAATCTTGGTCCTGTCTCTGCCCTCATGGAGCCCAAATTCAAGTGGGGGCAAAGGACAAAGCATGATAATTCCACATGGTGAGGGAATAAAGCTGGGAGGTCAGAGAGGTGACACCTGAGCTGAGCCTCAAAGGATAAAAAAAATCTAGCATCTAGGAATTAAAGCGAGGAAGAGTGTTGCAGGCAGAGGGTACAGCAAGTGCAAAGGCCCCGGGGTGGGATCAGGTATCGTTTGATCAAGGTTCAGAAAGGATAATAGATGTCTCTCCTTAGGCCAGCCTCCTTGAAATGGGTCTAAAAAATTGCCAAATCCTTAATAGCCCTCCAGAGAAACAGAGGTTAATGATACCCTCTCACCAGCTATTTATAAAAGTGCCTGTCTTGCCATAGTCTTGCTAGGAATGGGTATTAATATTTTAAAGATATCTTTGCTAATGGGATCCTGGACATACATTTTGACTATTGAAATCACAGAATCCCAGGATGCAGGGGTGTCCCTGATTCATACCTGGGGGACTTGGTCAGCTACCCTGGCCCAAGTAGGGCCCACTAACTCACACACATCCTGGTTGACTCCCCTACCCCTACATCTGCTTCCAGCTAAATACGACCCTCCTCCTAGAGACATCAAGGTGTCCAAGGCAGCAGGGCAGCTGCTCATGGAGTGGAAGACCCCAGATGGCCAGGATAATGCTGATGTGCAGTTCCGACACCGGACGCCTGGCAGCCCCTGGAAGTTGGTGAGTTTATTTTCCAGCTCAGGGATAGGCACAGACCCCTCCCCAGTGCATCCTCACCACCTCAAATAATTCTCACCATCTCTGCATTGTCATTCCCCACACCTGACCTCCACTCTTGCCCCCTGCCCCACCCCTTGGGGACTCTCTGACATCTGGATCTGACCATGGCCTCTCCTGCTCACACACCCTCCGTGACTCCCCATTACCCTCAGGAGGGTATGCTCGTTATCAGCCAGGCTGAACTGGCCCTAGCCACCTCACCTGTCTCGTGCTTCCTCTGAGCCCCTCCTGAATGGCTGCCGGGCTCACCCGCATCCTTGATTTCCAGCCTTCTTGCCTTTATCCCTGCCATTCCCTCCCCAGAAAGGTATCATCTCCATCTCAGCACACGCAAACCCAGCCCAGCCTGCAGGGCCCAGCGCGAAGGCTGCCTCTCCCAGGAAGCTGCTCTGCTACTCATTCATTCATTTGTTCATTCTTCAGCTACTCTCTGTCACTCCCTGCTGTATAGGATTTTATTTTAAAAAAGTTAAGAAATACTCAGGTTCGCCATGCATAAACTCGTTCAGATTATTGCAAGGTAGTCGTGGCAAGGCACACAAGTAAGAAGACCTCAAGACATTCATTTGGAACTGGACAATCAGAATTAACAATTACAATGTTTATTCAATGGTTAGAGTCCCAATCTTTCGACTTCAGACATTTACCTTTTACAAGTGGTCTCGGGAGGAAGGCTTGGCCACAGCTCGAACTCGGCAGAGGTCCGTCATAGCTAGCCTTCAAGGTTGGCGGTAGCGGGCAGAACTTCAATACAGAGTCTCAGTCTTCAGAGAGAGTCAGACTCCAGAGGGAGGTTCCAGCTCTGCCTTCTCTCAGCGAGTGAGCAGAAATTCAGGGTTTATATGTGAATTCCTTAACTTGGCCTCGCACAATAAGGGCCAGTGTGATGTTAAAGACTAGTTAGTATGCTATGTCTTCTCTCCAGGGTTAGAGATTAGCCAAATGTCTCATTTTTTTCTTCAAGGTTAGAGATTAGGGTGGTTGTTTAGATTTGTGTCTCTAGGCTAGTTTATGATAATTAACTACGTTACATTTTCTTTTATCACAGCATGCAGGGACAAGGTCAACTTCAGGGTTAGTTTACCACATTCTTCACATAATTCTATATTTCTATGTCTAAATTCAGAAATTTTCTACTTCTAAATCACATTATAAGTAATTTATGTATCTGTGGCTTAAGTTCATTACAGAAGCAACTTTACAGAGTCATGTATGATTTAACAGCAGCACAGAATCATATATAATTTGAGAACATTACAAAAAGTATACATAACGCCCCCTTTGTGCCCCCAGGCAGAATAAAGCTGAGCCTCCAAGCAGTCCCCAGTTTCGGGGAAGACAGACACCCCCAGCCTCTGAATTGCAGCCAGCCTCCTCCTCCCTCAGACTGGCAGCTTCTTGAGGTCAAGGACAGACGTTGTGCCCCTTGCTGAGCCTCAGTTTCCCCATCAGGAAAATGGGCATGAGATCATCAGGGCCAGGTGATGGGGAGGACCGTTTCTTTATATCTCAATTCCAGCTCCCTAACCACACTGTGCGGTAGACCCTCTCAGTTTCTTTTGCAGATGAGGAAACTGATGGCCAGGACAGTAGGGACCTCCCCAGGGACCCACAGGGAGTGGGTACCGGACTGGGACCGAAACTGGGCTTGCCTGATCCCCAACACCAAGAACAGGCACACTTCAAAGTCACCATTTTGCCTCCTAAAATAATGTTTTAAATAAACTTTTTATTTTGAAATAATTTTAGATTTTCTGAAAAGTTGCAAAGATAATACAGAGGGTTCCCATGTATCCCTCACCCAGCTTCCCCCAATGTTAACATCTTACATGACCACAGTACATTGGTTACGACTAGAAATTAACACTGGCACACCACTATTAACGAAGCTCCAGATTGCATTCAGGTTTCACCCGTTTTTCTACGAAAGTCCTTTTTCTGTTCCTGGATCCAGTCCAGGGTTCCACATTGCATTTAGCAAAGTTATTTGTTTTTTGTTATTTTTTAAAATTATACTGTAGTAAAATATATACAATGTATAATTTGCTATTTAACCTTTTCTTCGATTTCAACTTGATCCTTTTATCTCATCTGCTATATATATATATGTATATATAGTGCTTTAAGTGAAAGTTTACAATTCAAGTTAGTTTCTCATACAAAAACTTATACACGTATTGTTATGTGACCCTAGTTGCTCTCCCTATACTGTGACAGCACACTCCTCTTTTCCACCCCAGATTTCCCAAGTCCATTCAACCAGCTCCTGACCCTCTCTACCTTCTCATCTCGCCTCCGGACAGGAGCTGCCCATTTAGTCTCATGTATCTGCTTGAGCTAAGAAGCACACTCTTTACGAGTATCATTTTACGTCCCATAGTCCAGTCTAACCTTTGTCTGAAGAGTTGGCCTCAGGAATGGTTTTAGTTTTGAGCTAACAGAGAGTCTGGGGGCCATGTTTTCCGGGGTCCCTCCAGCCTCAGTCAAACCATTAAGTCTGGTCTTTTTACTAGAATTGAGTCCTGCACCCCACTTTTCTCCTGCTCCATCCATCAGGGACTCTCTGTTGTGTTCCCTGTCAGGGCGGTCATTGATGGTAGCCAGGCACCATCTATTTCTTCTGGTCTCAGGCTGATGGAGTCTCTGCTTTATGTGGCCCTTTCTGTCTCTTGGGCGAATATTTTCCTTGTGTCTTTGGTGTTCTTCATTCTCCTTTACTCCAGGTGAGTTGGGACCAATTGATGTATCTTAGATGGCCACTCGCTAGCTTTTAAGACCCCAGACGCCATTCACCAAAGTGGGATGCAGAACGTTTTCTTAATAAACTTTGTTATGCCAGTTGACCTAGATGTCCCCTGAAACCATGGTCCCCAGACCCCCGCCCCTGATACTCTGTCCCTCCAAGTGTTTGGTTATATTCAGGAAATATCTTAGCTTTTGTATTTATCCATATTTTTTAATTTTATTGTGATAAAATATATATAACAAAACGTTTGCCATTTCAACCATTTATACACGTACAATTCAGTGACATTAATTACATTCGCCATGTTGTGCAACCATCACCAATATCTGTTTCCAAAACCTTTTCATCGGTCCCAAACAGAAACTCAGTGCCCCTCAAGCAATAACTCCGCGTTTTCTCCTCTCCCAGCCCACGGTAACCACTGATCTACTTCTGCCTCTATGCATTTGCCTCCTCTAGATATTTCATATAAGTGAGATCATACAGTAGTTGTCCTTTTGTGTCTGGCTTTATTTTACTCAGAATAATGTTTTCGAGGTTCATCGCCAGTGTAGCATGTATCAAAACATCATTTCTCTTATTGGCTAAGTAATATCCCATGGTAGGCATAGACCACAGTTTATTAATTCATCTGTTGGTGGACATTTGAGTTGTTTCCACCTTTTGACTATTGTGAATAATGCTTCAATGAACATTGGTGTAAAGAGCAAAATAATGTTTAAAATTCCAGAACAGCTAATATTTTTCAACACAAAAGTGTAAAACAGTATATAAATGTGATCTTGTCCTAGGGCCACTGTGGACTTCAGGATGATACTGGCTTAGGTGAGAATAATAATAATAATGACAACAACAGCTGTAGCAAGTCACCATCAATTGAGTGCCTACTGTATACCTGGCCCAATGCTAAGCTCTTTGCATGCCTGTTGATCTGCTTTGTGGTTAAGTATTGGATTATTCCCATTCCACAGGTAAGGAAACCAGTGCTTACAGGCCAGAAGACATTGGCCAAGATCTTATCCCCAGGAGGTGGCCTGGCAGGGATTCGAACCTGGGGCAGGAGCAGAAATGGATGTACCTGGAGAGCCCACAAGGGCAGAGCCTCCTCTGTCCCCTCTAAGTCCCCGGTGCCCAGCACATGGTCCTGCATACAGTTGGCACCCAATAAGTGCGCAATGGCTAAATGACCAGTGCCAAGCCCTGGGCATCCTGGGGGTGGAGCAGCCCTGCAGCCTAATGTTTGATCTACCTCTCCTCAGAGTCCTGCCTCTGCCCCCTGGAGAAGGATGCTGCCCAGGAATTTCAGCTGCGGCGGCAGCAGTCGCTCAAGTCTCAGGCCCCAGGAGGTCCCTGGAGCAACTGGAGCAGCCCTGTGTGTGTCCCTGCAGGTGAGAGTGCCCGGGCCATGGGAATAGGAGTAGGCTTTGGAAATAAGGCAGCGGGTACTAGAAATATGGTATTGGGGTTAGACATAGGTGGTGGGATTAGAAATAAGGTGGCAGGTGTTAGAAATAAGGAGGTGGGTGTTAGAAATAAGTAGGTGTTAGAAACAAGGCTGCAATTGTCAGAGATAAAGCATGGGGCATTAGAAATAAGACAACGGGAGAAACGAGTGCTGTTTTTTAGAGATGGGATTGGGCTGTAGACCCTCAAACCCTCAGGACATGGTGCTTGGGCCCTGCTGCGCCCACTTTAGGGCTCTGTCAAGTGGGAACCATCAGGCCGAGCTTCACGGGTGCCATGTGCCTGAGATAGTTACATAGGCTGCTGCCCCCAACCCTGGGCAACGGGGAACTGAGAAAGAGAGTTTCAAACTGTGTCAAAGAAAAAGTTGGGACGATCTGAAATCATGGATAATGGTTATTCCTGAGGGCAGGGAAGTGGCCCAGGAGGGGGGTACTGGAGAGACTCCCAGCCTTTGCCTCTGGCCCTCATGAACTCTTGCCTCCTGCCCCAAGTGCTGGGAAACAGCCCCCAGGGTGGTTTTTGCTGATTTTGGAAACTCCTTAACAACCCACACAAATCCTGTGTTTCATGGGAAAGAAGGAGACAGTCCCAGCTTTGTTGTCTCACACTGTCTCATTGTAGAAACCCCCCCACCGAAGCTCGAGATGAATTGCTCAGTGGAGCTGCTCCGCCCAGATGGAAGGAGGCTGCTGACCCTGCAGGGGCAGGTATTGGGATCATTGTAGGATTGTGGTGTGGCCTGGGGTGGGGGAGCAGGGAACAAGAGCCTGGATGGAGGTGAGCAAGTGGGAGATGGAGGGAGATGAGACATGAGGATCCCAGGGACCAGGTGTATGGTGGGTTTTACTGTGAAGGTAATAGGGAGCCATGGAGGGTGTGTGAGCTGGGGATGGCCATAATTGGACTTAGGCTCCCTTTGGCCGCTGTGCGGGGGACAGACTATAGGGGGTGAGGGTGGAAGCTGGGAGACAAGAAGGGAGGTGACTGGTCCAGCTAGGCAGTGATGGTAGGCTGGGTCAGGGGGAGGAAGTAAGATTTCTCTGAGTACCAAAATAACTCATTAAGTACAGTCTAATTAGCCCCATTTTACAGAGGAGGAAACTGAGGCATGGAGGGAAACTCTTGCCTGAGTCAGGGGCAAAATGGCCAAATATTCTACCCAATGGCTTCACCACAATTGACTTAGCAGGTGTGGTCCAACTCACAGTGACTCCACGTGTGTCAGAGTAGAGCTGTGCTCCCTAGAGCACATATGGATCAGTTTTACTTTGCACACGTAGGGTCACCATGAGTTGGAATCAACTAGATGGCAACTAACAACAACAAAAACCAAAGGTCAGTGGAAGTGAATGCCAGTTTCCCAGCAGCCTTGCCAGCAGTGGGGTTTATAATTTTTTAAAACTTTTTAAACTTTTGGCACATGTAATTCGCTGTGACCTGTGGGTGAGTCTGTCCTCACAGCCTGTGTCCTGGCATCTGTCCATGAGACCAAGAGTGTATTCAGGCCCTGACAAACCATCTCTTGTGCTCACAGCAGCCGCCTCAGCTGGAGCTTCCGGAAGGCTGCCACAGAACCACACCTGGTGCGGAGGCGACATACAGCATCCACCTGCACATGCTGTCTTGCCCGTGCCAGGCCAAGGCCACCAAGACTCTGTCCTTGAGGAAAACGCTCAGACTCTCAGGAGCTGCCTACAATGTGACTGTCATTTCTCGGAATCGCTTTGGTCCTGGCCTCAACCAGACATGTCTCATTGCTCCTGACAACCGCACAGGTACCTCCGCAAGTGGGTGGGGAGAGCAGTGGGGAGGGCCCCTTGCAGCTGAGCACCCACTCTGAGCCACAGGCACAAAAATTTAAGGGAATGTTTAATTTAAGGGAGTGTCCAAACACTCAGTAATCAAGATACATAATAGTAAATGCAATGTTATAATGCTGTATAATGCAATCTCATCAGCAAAATACAGCCTGCTAGGCCAGATACTTGTTTTTGTCAATAAAGTTTTATTGAGACCAGGGCAGAGATCAGGGTGAGTTGAGTGAGGCAGGGGGTTCATGAAAGGCTAGGGTCAGATTCTGTCTTTATTTAAAATCTTAGTATTTTGTAAATTTTATGTATTTATATGTATTTTTTAATTGAGGTAAAATTCACATAACACAATTTTAAAATGTGCAACTTAGTGGCTTTTAGTCCATTCACCATATTGTGCAACCTCCATCTCTATCGAGTTCCAGAACATTCTCATCACCCCAAATGAAAACCTCGTACCCATTAAAAATCACTCCTCATCCCTCCTCCTTCCCCAGCCCCTAATCCTCTTTCTGTCTCTATGGATTTGCCTGTTCTAGGCATTGCATATAAATGGAACCATACACTCTGAGTTCCTTTGTGTCTAGCTTCTTTCACTTAGCATCGTGTTGTCAAGGTAAATCCACGTAGTAGCAGGTATCAGAGCTTCATTCCTTTTTATGGCTGAGTAATATTCCATTGTATGGCTGTACCACACTGTTTTCCTATCATCGGTTGATGGACATTTGGGTTGTTTCCACCTTTTGGCTATTGTGAATAGTGCTCAATATATTTTTTTTAAATTAATTTTTATGTTTTTGAAGATAGTGCGTTAAAATATCGCTTATTTTGATAACTGAGTTTTTTAGTGCCGCCTTAAATTTTGTGCCTGTGCCTAGTGTCTCACTCTGCTCACCCTACTCCTGGCCCTGCTGTGCCCCCAGCAGCCCTCTGAGGCTGGGGCTGTTATGTGATGCCCATTTCAGAGACAAGAAAACTGAGACTCAGAGAGATGAAGCCATGCCCTTGTTGGGTGCCCAGTGGCTCTCCCTTTCTGAGCTTCAGTTTCCCCATCTATAAAATGGGGTAATCACAGTCCCACTTTATAATGAAGTGGCGCCTATAAAGCACTTGGCACTGGCTTGGCATATACAACAGGTGCTCAATAAACGATGGCTGTTGTCCCCAGTGTTGGAAGCAGCTCCCACCTCTCCGAGACTGCTGTCAGATGCCCTGGCTGTAGCAGGTGGAAGAGATGAGCCCAAGGCACTTGATGGCCTTGTCCTTGTGCTTCTGAGCCCGGGGTTCTGGCCCCAGGGGGTGTGATCTAGTTGCGGAGGTCTGGTCCTGTGGCCACGCCCTCCGCTGGGTGAGGCAGTGGTGGGTGACAGGCATCTGGAAGAGCAGCCCGCTGGCTGGCAGTGGGAGTCAGGGTGGTACAGGGAGCCCTACTGGGGAACATGGTGGCGGGGAGCCCATGATCAGGCGGGGGCAGCAGCTCAGCACATTCCAACTCCCTTCTGTGGCCTCCTCTGTGCCCAGCCCCCAAGCAGTCCCCAGTGTGGGGAAGACAAAACCAGACACAGACACTCTGGGCCAGAGGATGGGCTGAGGCAGCCCCCAAAGTGCTTCCCTCCCATGCCCCTCCCTCTCTTTCCAGAACCCAGGACTCTGAATATCAGTGTCGGAGCCAAGGGGACCACAATGCGCTGGGCAGGCCAGGCCCAGGCCACGACATACTGCATTGAGTGGCAGTCCCATGACCAGGACAGAAGCCGTGCCACCTGCACCCTAACGGTGCGCCAGGCCCTGGACGCGGCTGGAATGGGTACAGGAGTGTCAGGGGCCCTGCCTCTGCGTCTGCTCAAACCTTCCGGGATGGTCCATACAGGGTATCTGAGGCCCAGAGAGATATTGCCACTTGATCAGTGTCACACAGCAGTGAGGATAGGCCGAGATTCGAACGAACCCTTCCGCCTATGCCGGTCTTGAGACTCCTGGGAGTCTCAGGGCTCAGCCCTGGGCAGGTTGCACTCTAGCAGGTAATGAGTCTCACGTCCCAGGGTGTTTGTTAAACACTTACCTGCACCAGGGAAGGTGGCAGCTTGCAAGACACAGGTGCCAAATTAATGAGGCCACTGGAGGGAAAGGGGGGCTGCTGTGCAGTCCAAGTAGCCTCCAGCTCTCCCATCTCTCCTGGGCCCAGCCGGGGCCCCAAGAAGCCTCAGCCTCAGCCTGGCTCTTGAGAAGCCCCCAGCCTGGAGGGGACAGAGTTGGACACAAACACCTAGCCCAATGGAGCAAAGGCTGGGCTGGAGAAGGGGGACAGGCTGAGGGAGAGCCACATGGAAGGGGTCCTGGAGGTGGGGACATTGGTGCAAGGGCTTTGGAACATGAATAGGAGTTCTCTAGGGGATCTGTGCAGATGGCACAGCCAGTGCACAGGTGCAGAGGTGGGAAGACAGTCTACTCACCTAGCCTTTACTCATCCTTCCAGTGACCCACAGCTGGAGCCCAGCATCAGGGGTAATGGAGCAGGAGGGGTGTTATCGCATCACCATTTTCGCCTCCACACACCCGAAGAAGCCCACCTCTTGGTCCACGGTCCTGTCCACCTACCACTTCTGGGGCAATGGTGAGTAGTCCAAACCTGTCAGATCATATCCCAGGAGGAGTCAGGAGCATTTAGAGGCACCTACGGTGTTTCAGGCCAGTGGTCAGTGGTGGTTCAGTGGTAGAATTCCCGCCTCCCAGGCAGGAGACCTGGGTTCAATTCCCGGCCAGTGCACCTCATACACAGCCACCACCTGACTGTCAGTGGAGGCTTGCATGTTGGTAGGATGCTCAGCAGGTTTCAGTGGAGCTTCTAGACTAAGATGAACTAGGAAGAAAAGCCTGCCTGTCTACTTCCAAAACTTTGCCCATGAAAACCCTGTGGATCATAGTGGTCCAATCCACAACTGATCGTGGGGATGGCACAGAACCGGGCAGCATTTTGTTCTGTAGTGCATGGGGTCACCATGAGTCAGAGGCTGACTCAATGGCAGGTAACAACAGTTGTGTTAGGCCCTGGCCAGAAGTCAGCTCAGTAGACTCCTAAGCTACACTGAGTAGCATTGCCCCATTTTATAGATAAAAAAAACTGAGGCTCAGAGAGGGGAAGTGACAACGACTAAGTGGTGGGGCCAGGATTCAAACCCATGAAGTAAGGGCTAGGCTAGAGAGGGGAGGATGGGTTGAGGAGGCATCACAGTGAAGAGGGCCTAGCAGAATGGACATTGGTGCAAGGGCTTTGAAGCATGAATGAGTTCTCTAGGGGATCCCTGTCTGAGTCTCGGTTTTCTTTTCTATGAAATGGGACAAAGCTGCTCAGGGTAACTTAGGAGTTGCCTGGCTGACTTCTGGCCACCCATCTCTGAGGCCAAGGTTACCCTCCCTGTCCTTGGATGGTGCTAGGGCTAGATATACAGAAAATGCTCGTCCAGTGCTCCTGGTGTTAAGATTGTGGTGACGGTGCTGGTTGCAGCCTCGCGGGCCGGGACCCCACAGCTGGTCTCAGTGAAGAATCATAGCGCAAACTCGGTGTCAGTGCACTGGGCAGAGTCACCGCTGAGTTCCTGCCCCGGCGTCCTGAAGGGGCACGTTGTGCGCTTCTGGGATGAGGACAGCAGCCAAGTGTCAGGTACGAGAAGGAGCGAAGGAGTGGGCTGGGGGAGGAGCGGTCTGCGCTCGAGTTCCACCTGGCTGTGCAACCCTGGGCACCCCACTGTCCTTCTCTGGGCCTCTGTGGTGCCAGCTGTGAAATGAGAGAATTGGGCTCAAGGGCCAGGATGGCCCCTTCCAGACCCCTAGAGAAGGTGGAGTCGGAATGTGAACCCAGGTCTACCTGACTCTGTGGCCAGGGTTACCCCATCCTTGGACGTTGCTGGAGCTGGGTATATAGGAAATGTTCAACCAGTGCTCTTGATGTCGAGTGTGGTGGCCGCATAGCTGGCAACCCCTCACGTGTATCAGCAAGTGACTTCCATCAGGTGGACATTGTTGTCTCCACTTCACAGATGAGCAGACTGAGGCTTAGAGAGGGGACTTCACCTGCTCAATGATCGAACAAGCCTGGACTCTTCCACTGCCCCTTCCTGCCCCTTCCCCATTGCCATTGATTTGTTTCTGACTTGTGGCAACCCCGTGTGTTACAGAGTAGAACTGGGTTCCACAGGGTTTTCTTGGCTCTAATCTTTATGTAAGCAGATCGCCAAGACTTTCTCTTGTGCTGCTGCTGTGTGGGTTCAAACTGCCAACCGTTTGGTTTAATAGAAGTGTGCAAACTATTTGCACCACCCAGAAACCTTTCTCTTGTCCCTTAGGGAAAGAAATGAAAACTTAACAGGGAAGATTCCTATTATGGATTGAATTGTGTCCCCCAAAAAGATAAGTTGAAGTTCTAACCGTTGTACCTATGAATGTGACCTTGTTTGGTAACAGAGTCTTTCCAGATGTTATCAGTTAAGTTGGAATCCCTAGGTGGTACAAATAATTAACGTGCTTGGCTGCTAACCAAAAGGTTGGCAGTGTGAGTCCACCCAGAGGTACCTCAGAAGAAAGGCCTGGCAATTTACTTCTGAAAAATGAGCCACTGAAAACCCTATGGAGCACAGCTCTACTCTGACACACATAAGGTCACCAGGAATCAGAATGGACTCTGATTTTTATCAGTTACATTAACATGAGGTCACACTGGGGTATGTGGATCCTGATCACATATGACTGGTGCCCTTATGCAAGAGGAGAAGAGACACGAGAGACAGACAGAGGGAAGACAGCCTTGTGAAGATGTGTCTACAAGCCAAGGAATGGCAGGGCCACCAGAAGCTGGAAGAGACAAGAAAGGATCCTGCTCTAGAGCTTTCTGGAGGGGGAACAGACCTGCTGACGCCTTGATTTCAGACTTCTGGCCTCCAGAACGGCGAGCAAATAGATTTCTCTTCTTATAGATCATCCGCTTTGTGGTGTTTTGTTTCAGCGGCCCCAAGGAAACTCAGGCAGTCCCACTTCCTGCCCTACCTGAGACAGGGCTGCCCAGGGCTGGAGCCTTCTCGTCATTTCACAGTTTGCCCCTCACCCTGCCTCCCTGACCGGTTACACAGCCTTGCAGATAAGGCCTCACCTGCCCATCTCCAGCAGCCACAGGCCCGGCCTGCAACACCGTGGGTTCGTGTCCTGCCTCCCACCACAGCACCCAGCACAGGGACAGGCATGAATGAAGGGGAGTGCTCCAGCACCAGAGACTCTTAGACACACTGGCATCAGCTTGGCCACCCCCCACATTGTCTGGAGGGGAAACGGAGGCCACATGGGGACGGGTGGCTATGTTGGTTTCCTGGGACTGCTGTAACAAAGTACCACAAACTGGGTGGCTTAGAACAACAGAGATTTAAGCTCTCACAGTTCTGGAGGCCAGAAGTCTGAAATCAAGGGGTCACAGGGCTGCGCTCCTCCGGAGGCTGTAAGAGAGGATCCTTTCTTGCCTCTTCCAGCTTCTGGTGGCTCCAGGAGGTCCTGGGCTTGTGGCTCACCGTTCCAATCTCCACCTCCGTCATCACATGGCCCTCTCCCCCATGTGTCTCTGTTTCTGTCTCCTCTTTTATAAGAACACCACTTAGATGGGATTAGGACCCACGGTACTCCATTGTGACCTCATGTTAACCTAACTGATACATCTTTAAAGATCCTATTTCCAAACAAGGTCAGGTTCACAGATACAGAGCTAGGACTTTAGCTTATCCTTTTCGGGGACACAATCCAACCCCTAACAGTGTCTTATTCAGGGTTGCTGGAAGCAGCCCATCTGCAGAAAACCAATCTGCCAAAAGCCATTTTGTTGAAGGCCAAATTTATCAATTCCCAAAAAACTTCTTTTGAGGAATAGGAATATTCCTCCTGAATAGGGTGAAAGAATATGAATTTAGTGTTCTAGGAATATTTTCTTCTAGATGACAGGTAGCAACTATATTCTTATTTTAAGGGTTTTTAAGGAGTGTTTTATTTGTTAAATTCGTTCAATTCCACCAACACTTTCTGAGAACCTTCTGTGTTTGGGTCCTATCTGAGGCTCTGGGGATGCCTGGGAACAAGACAGACAAAGCTTACTCTAACCCTAAAGGCCTGAAGGAGGTGAGGGAGGAAACCATGTGGGTATCTGGGGAAAGAGTGTATGTGGTGGCCGGTACCACCAGTGCAAAAGCCGAGGGGTAGGACCGAGCCTGCTGCCGTTAAGGAGTAGGGAGTAGGTGTGGCAGCCCAGCCAGGACTCCACCCAGGTCGGTGGGGGGGCACCCCACAGCCGAGCATGACCTCTGGGGAGCAGAGGGGTTCGGGGGACCCATGACTGCCTCCCTTCATCCCTCCGCAGAGCGCGCAGTGAATGCCACAGAGACGCAGGTCACCCTTCGCGGCCTGCGGCCTGGTACGACCTACACTGTGCAGGTCCGAGCAGACACGGCGGCAGGGCGAGGCGCCTGGAGCAAGCCACAGCAGTTTAGCACTGGTGAGCATCAGGGGCAGGGCTGGTCCTTCCCTCCCGTTGTTTATCCAGCAGGCACTGCCCCAACCCCACCCCAGTCCCCAAAGGAGCCTCCCATCAGTCTGACCACCACGCTCTGGGATCTCCCTCTGTCTCCCTACCTCCCTTCTCTAGCCTTGTCTTCTGTGGCTGTCCCTGGTGAAACTTCTGTCACACTCGGGGGTGGGGGAGCCCTGTCATGCAGGAGCTTCTGCCTGGAATGTCTCCCCTTTCCCTGTTGTCAAACTCCTATTCATCCTTCAAAACCCAGCCCAAAAGCCCCCTCCTCCAGGTAGTCTTACCTGCCTCCCTGTGGACACCCCCCAGCGCTGCCACCCGATTGCCCTGCCCTGACCCTTTGGGGACTGGGGGTGACTGTGTCTCACTCTGCCCTTCCCCAGCCTGGGGCTCCTGGGGAATTTTAGGTGGGGCTGTGTAATGAATGAATGAATAAATAAATGAGTGTCTCTCCCATCACAAAGATAGGCAAACAGGCTCCATTATCTTGGGATTCATAGTCATAAGAGATTCGGAGCCCAAATGATCCCTGTTCTTGCCATAGTCCCCACCCATTGTCCTAGCAGTGAATTCCAGCCCCAAGAGAACCAAAATCAGAATCGGAGTTGGGCTGGGGGGTGGGGGGTGGGGAAGGAGCCCACAGGGAGAAGCCACAGGGGCCCAGTCTGCAGGCACCTGGAGCTACAATGTCTTGAGCACTTTATCACCCCAGCCACCTGGGCAAGAGGGTTCCATGGTCCCCACAATACAGATGAGGAAACTGAGGCATGGAGGGGCCCATGGCATGCCATGGTCAGCAGTGAGTGGATGGAGGGCCTGGCCCACCCTTGCTCCAGCCCCCTCTTCCCAGCTCCCACCCTTCGAGTGTCAGAAGTTACCACCCCCCAAACCCAAGCTCTCCTGCCTCCAGAAGTTCAGGTTTCACGTTTGGTCATCTTCCTGGTGTCGCTGGGCAGCTTCGTGAGCATCCTCATCCTGGGCATCCTCGGGTACTTCAGCCTGAACAGGTAACTTGCAACCCTCACCCCTGAGGGGACCAGTAATAGTGACAGTAATAATAGCAATAACTACACCCACTGGAGTAGGTATTTTATCATAGCCATTTTACAGATGAGGAAACTGAGGCTTAGGTGGGCAGGGTTTCACCCAGAAATGGGGACAGAGCTGGGATTTGAACCCCTCCCCAAATCTACGTCCTCAGTGGCTTTTATAACCTAACAGCAACGAAAAAAATTAAGTCAGAACAATTAATAAGTAAGCATGAAAAATTAAGTCAGAACAATTAATAAGCAAGCATGAAAAAGTAAGTCAGAACAATTAATAAGTAAGCATGAAAAAGTAAGTCAGAACAATTAACGCGTAAGATTAGATGGAAGCATGATTCCTCTGACCGGCTTCCCTCTTCCCTGCCTAGGGCTGCACGGCACCTGTGCCCGCCCCTGCCCACGCCCTTTGCCAGCACCGCTGTCGAGTTCCCTGGCAGCCAGGGGAAACAGGTAAAAGCTCCTTTTCTAATTCCAGGTTCTGCTTATTGGATCCATACTCTGAGCTGGGCTCTGCTAAGCAATGGTCATGCATTAGCTCATTTTATTCTCCCTCAACTGATTGCACTATGGACTCCGAAACTAGTGCTCCAAACCCCTTCCCATTTCACAGACAGGCAGGCAGAGGCCCAGAGAGGAACTGCCTGTCAATCATTTCCGAGCGGCAGATACAGGACTCAGCATGGCTTCAACAAAAAGGAAAGCTAGTGGGAAATCCCAGGGTGATGGATTTAAGGCACAGCTAGATCCAGGGACTAAGCCTCTATCTCTTTTTGCTGCTGTCCTGCTTGCTGTCCTCTCTCGCCAGCAGCACCCCTATGGTGGAAAAGAGGCTCCTGGAGCTCCAGGCCTTCCTCTACCCAATGGAAACAGGGTGGTCCTTTTTTTCCCATTAACGTGAGCAAAAGTCCCAGGGCCATCTCTGGTTGGTCAGCTTGGGTCACATGCCCATCGCTGAGCCTATCACTAGAACCAGGAGGCTGGGATGCTCTGATTGGCAGGGCTATGGTTACACACCCATCCCAAGCAGGGCTGGGGGCAGCATCCTGCCCAAGCACGCCAACTGAAGAGGAAGGACAATTCCCCAAAGAGAAATGAGGATGCTCTTTCTAAGACGGGGCTGAATGGAGGTCATTGAGGCAGAGTCCAGACCTAGACTTGGTTTCAGAATCTTAGAGAATTTAGCCAGCAGGGACCTTGTGTGGATGGGAAACAGGGCCCCTCCCACAGCCTTGGCCCCACCCTCCCGTTCCAGGTTTGGCAGTGGACCAAGCAGGAGGGCTTCCCGGAAGAGTTGCCTCCGCAGGAGGCCCTGGTGGTGGAGACGTTCTGGGACAAAGGCGAGGGGACTGGACTGGACACGGCAGGGCCTCTCAAGGAGTCGCAGCTAGCCCCCGAGGCCCAGGCTGAGGCTCTGGGGCCCGGCGGACAGGACGGTCTGGCGGAGGGACGCCCACTGCTCTTGGGAGACCTAATGCAGAGTCCCAGGCTCGGGGACCCTCAGTACATCAAGGCCTGAGGGACAGGAATACTAATACCCTCGTCTTACAGACAGCGAGATGCACTGACAGACGACGATCACAGTCATGAAGCCTGGTTGTTAAGCGCCTACTGCATATCCGGCCCCGATCCAGCCAGACACTCTCAGGGTCCCTGACCCCACAGCCACCCAGTGAGGGGTACTGTGGTTATCCTATTTTACAGATGGGACCACTGAAGCTCAGAGAGGAAGGCCACATAGCCAGGGCAGGAGTCAAACGTGGGCCGACTGACCAGAGCCCCCCACACAGGCTCAGGCGCCCCCACCCCTCTGGCCTTCTCCGTGCAGCCCCTGCTGCGACACATCCTGGGGCTGGAAACCCAAGCCACCACCCTAAAACGGAAGCTGTCGCAAGGGGCCCGGCCTGACATCCGGGGGCGGGGACGGGCGCCGTCATTGGTCCGCGTGGGGGCCGCCTGCTCAGTGTGGCAGGCAAAGCCGGGCTCGGGAGCACTGGAACGGGAGTCTAGGCTCAGGGCTCCCACCGCATTGCGGGGTCTTGAGCCTAGAAGGATCCAGGTGTGGGGAATAGGTGGGCTGTGCACTCTCTGGGGGAAGCGACGGCCCCTCCCGTGCCTCAGTCTCCTCCCTGATGAAATGGGGGTAATCGCGCAATAAACGAGTCCCCCCTAACGTGTCTACACCCTGGCTGAACCTTGAATGTCTGCTCAAAAAACAAAATAGGAGCTGTATTTATTAATTAATTCGTTTCTTCATTCCACAAACATTTATGCAGCTCCCTTCTGGGCGCAGCCGAGCGGCTCCTAGCCTTGAGGAGACGGAGCCGGACACACTGCCGCTCCCCCTACACACCCCGAATCCATCTGCTTCCCTGTCCCCAACCGCCTGGCCTCCTGCCTCCACCGCCCCTGCCTCTGACACTCACCATGGATCCCCCCGGCGGCCGCTGGGATCCTCTAAAACCTCGTGGTCGCCGATACCCGCCGTGGCCACCAGGTGGCAACAGCTGCGCGTGTCTCCCTAGCCGAGTGGCCACGCCCCCTCCACCTACTACAGCTTTTGCAAAAGACTTTTCGGATTCCAAACTGTTACCATTGTCGGTCAAGGCAACTCCATGCACAGTGAAACTAAACGCTGCCTGGTCCTACACCACCCCTATAATCGGTTGGGGATCGGACTGTTGTGATCTATAAAGTTTTCATTGGCTGATTTTCGGACGTCGATTGCCAGGCCTTTCTTCCTAGTCTGTATTGGTCTGGAAGCTCCACTGAAACCTGTTCGACATCCTAGCAACATGCAAGCCACCACTGATAGACAGGTGGTGGCTGTGCATGAGGTACATTGGACGAAATCGAACCCAAGCAGGGGTGGATTATCCAACAGGTTTACCAGATCGTCTGTAGTGAACAATTTCACATTTTCCACCACATCAACGATTCTGCTTCTACGTATGGCTGGCATCTGTCCCTCCCAACCCCACAGCACCTTCCTACAAAATCAAAGCCTCTTTTCAAATTTACAGTCCCTAACAAGGTTGGATTACCTGGTCAGCAAGGTAAGCATAGGATGTGGAATTGTTCAGTATAGATTTGAAAGTAAGCACAAGTAAACCTGTGCTTACTTTGCTGGCTGGGTAATCTGCCCCTGAAACCAGGTCACCCTCACGTCAGGTAAAAATTCTGCCATTGAACTACCAATGCCTCTCAATGGGGGGAGAAGGAGATTAAAACTCAGAAGCACTAAATTGGTGGGGCAACAGGAGATGAGGCTTCTAGGGGAGAGCAGGTTGGGAGAAGGGAAGGCTGGGAGGGCTAGGAGGTGAAGAGTCCAGTTCCCTCACCTCTCAGGGCCTCAATTTCTCCAGGCCCTGGTGCTCTGGCTGCCATGTGGCTGCTCATTGTTCTGAAAACGCTCTCCCTGGATCTGCTGCCTCCTGGCTTTTGCTCAGGCCTCACTGTCCTCCATACAAGCCTTTCCTGAGGGTCCTCCTCTTCCTTCTATAGGGCTAACTCTGGCCTGAGGAGAAGGCAGGCAGGGATGGGGCTAAGTGGTCGGAGAGGAGGACCGCACAGCTAGACCTGAACTTCAGGACTTGAAGCTACGCTGTCATGACCCCCACCCATCAACGGATCACCAGGCAGCTATATGTCCCCCTGCTCAGCTATCTCAGTCCCGGGCCTGCCGAGTGGTGAAGAATCCCACTTGGGAACCTCCCTGGAGTTGATGGAGCTCCATCCCTCCCAGCCAAAGCCCCAGGACCAAGAAGGGGGAAACCAGGTGCTGTGGAGTGGATTCTGACTCATGGCAACCCCATGTGTGTCAGAGTAGAACTGTGCTACACAGGATTTTCAGTGGCTGATCTTTCAGAATTAGATCGCCAGGACTTTCTTCAGAGACACCTCTGGGTGAACTGGAACTGCCAACCCTTTGGTTAGCAATTGAGCACATTAACCATTTCCATGACCCAGGGATTCCAAAGGGGAGACAGGCAACAGTTATTGGGCTCCCACTGGGATTTTACCTCCAGGTAATGTAAAAAATGGAAACCCTGCTTCCATCAAAGGGAAGGCTGAGCTAGGTGGAAGGAAACCTGGAGCTCCAGGAGCCTCTTTTCCACCACAGGGTGGGGGTGGGGGGCTGCCTGGGAGAGAAACCTGCAGGTTGGACAACTGCACAGAGAGATGGAGCCTTCATGCCTGGATCCAGCCATGCCTGAAACCTATCACCCTGGGATTTTCCATCAGGTTCCCTTTGGAAGTGACTCTGTGGACCTCTGCCTGCCCATGTGTAAAATGGAAAGGGGTTTGGGGCACTGATTTTTTTTTTTTTTACTTCATTTCTCTTTATGGCTGAATAATATTCCATTGTATGGATGGACCATTCTTACAAATGCTTATCCCATGAATGCTTATCCCTTCACCTGTTGATGGACATTTGGGTTGTTTCCACCTTTTGGCTATTGTGAAACTGCTGCAATGAACTTTGGTGAACAGGTTTCTGTGTGTATGCATGTATTCATTTCTCTTGGGTATACACCTAGGAGGAGCCATGGCGGCGAAATGGTAAGCTCTCAGCTGCTAATAGCAAGGTCAGCATTTCGAACCCACGTTCTGCAGGAGAAAGATGTGGCAGTGTGTTCCCATAAAGACTACAGCCTTGGAAACCCTATGGGGCAGTTCTATTCTGTCCCATATGGTGGCTATAAGTTGGAATTGACTCGACGGTAGTGGGTTTATTTTTGTTTTGTTTTGTTTTATACACTTAGGTGTGGAATTGCAGGGTCATATGGTAATTCTATGTTTAACTCTTTGAGGAACCACCAGACTGTTTTCCAAAGTGGATGCACCATTTTACATTCCCACCAGCAATGCACAAGGGCTCCAATTTCTCTGTATCTCCACCAACACTTGTTCCTTTTTTTTTTTTTTTAAATTGTAGCCATCCTAGTAGGTGTGAGGAAGGTTCCTGGGTGGTGCAAATGGTCTATGATTGATTACTAACCTAAAGGTTGGTGGTTTGTACCCATCCAGTGGTGATGCAAAAGAAAGGCCTGGCGATCTGATCCCATAAAGATTACAGCCAAGAAAATGCTATGAGGTAATTCTACTCTGTAACACATATGGTCGCCATGAATCCAAATCGACTCCACAGCAAAGGGTTTGGTTTTTGGTTAGTGGGTGTGAGGTGGTTTCTCATTGTGGTTTCGATTTGCATTTTCCTGATGGCTAATGATGTTGAACATCTTTTTTTTTTTTTTTTTTTAGCATCTTTTCATGAGCTTGTTGGTCATTTGCATAACTTCTTTGGAGAAATGTCTGTTCAGATCCTTTGCCCGTTTTTATTTGGGTTGTTTGTCTTTTTATTATTGAGTTGCAAGAGTTCTTCATAGTTTTAGATACTGGTCTCTTATCAGGCAGGTGTATGATTTGCAAATATTTTCTCCCATTCTGTGGATGTCTCTTCCCTTTCTTGTCCTTTGCATAAAAGCATTTAATTTTGATGAAGTCACATTTATCTATTTTATTTTACTTTTAAGTTGCTTATGCTTAGGGTGTCATACCTAAGAATCCTCCTCATCTTTGATGCCCCCAGCCCGAGTCCTAACCCCCCTCCCTGGGTGTCTGCATCCAGCTGCGTTTCCCCACTGGGGGGCCTCTTGGTCCGGCCCCGGCCAGCAACGCTCTACAAAGCGGCACCTAGCAGCCTCCATCAATGTTTAACAATGGAACGGACGGAACCTTGGCTGGGGACGCTGGACATCCCGCCTGGCCCCTCCTGCCCCACCCCAGCCAGCCCGGGCCTGCTGTGGGGGTGGGGGGGCAAGGTCTCCCTTTCCAGGCGGGGAAACTGAGACACGGGGGCAAGGCAACAGCCAAAGTTACACATGGTCCCCGACTCCCACCCTCCACCACCTAGCCCCACCCAGTCGGTCTCTATCCTCACCTCGCCTCCCCACCCCTGTCCCCACCTCTCACACACACTCCCCTCCACTCCGGAGCTGCTCGCAGCTTGTCGAGCTGACCCTGCCCGGCGGGAACCGCCTGCTCCGGCGCACAGCAGCTCCTGCCAAAACCAAAACACCAAGGAGGAAGGAAAACACACGCCATGTGGCTGGGGCGGCTCCCCCTCCTCCGGCAGTCCCCGGAGACAAACATCTCTCCGACCCTGCTGAGTCCCTCTTTGTCTCCAACCGGACCGTGCCTCGGTTTCCCCAGCGCTGAAATGGGCGTAGTGACCCCCCCTCCAGATCTGAGCAGTGAGGGGGCGGGAGACGCTGCGATCCCCCTCGGTAATGTGAACATCACAGAGAGGTGTGCTCCACGCAGGGACTTGTGGCCTCGGTTCCCGTCCCACACACACACCAGGCTGAGTCCCGCACCCCCAGCTTTGCTCATTTGCTGCATGGGCAGCCTGTGTCTCCTCCCCTTCCCCGTTTTCTCCCTGTTCCTCTTCCTGTCTCCCTCTCTGTGTCTCTCTCCCTGTCTCTCCCTATCTCTGTGTCTGACTCATCTGTTAAAGAAAATACCCCACCCCCACCCCCCCGCACACTTAACTCTCACAGGAACTAAAAACTAGTGACCAAGACAGCTCTGGGAAAGTTTAAATATGAGATAACGCCATAGCTAGATTATAGAATGCAGACACGGCAAATTTAATAAACCAGGCCAAGCTGCCTTCTGCCGATTAAGTGAATGACAACCAATCGTTTTAAATTTCCTTTTTGGGACGTCCTCTAACAGTTCGTACTGCTCACAAGCTGATCAAGATTGTAATGTGACGAGCTTCTCTCTCCTGAGCTTCTCTCTCCCGTCTCTCTGGAGGGCTGCTCCCTGTTCTCTGCCCAATAAAACCTTTGAACTCTAATTGATTTAGTGATCAAGAGCTTTTTCTTTTGATACGTCTCTTCTTGCATTTGTCTTTTCTCTTTCTGTCTCCCTCCATCTCTCTCTGCCTCCCTCTATCTCTTTCAATCTCTGTTTCTCTCCGTCTCTCACAGTGTCTCTCTCTGTCTCTCTAAATCTCTCTCCATCTCTCCCTGTCTGTCTCCAACTCTTTGTT